ATAATACTATAATATTGCTCTAGGGGTTCATTTATAAAAGTTCCACCTGGTGTATAGCGCCATAAGAACGTCATTCGTCCAGTTATACCTTTTTATGCTAATGGCATTGAGAAATGAACCCCTTAGTGTCTTGCATTGCTTCACCTGTTTACTGCTGCCTTTCTGGACTTTTATCAAGCTTCTACCAGTTCTGCACTTACTCCAGTCCAGCCTGTATCAGCAGTCAACGGAGCTTCTACCTGTGGATTGCTTTCGATGCTGTGACTCTGGATCTTCAGTTAAGCTGAACATCTTTCCCTGGTGGCACTCAATGTCTGTCCAATTCTCACATGGCCTCCACCAGATCCAATGTCCTCTGCAGTGCTCTGGTATCACAGGTTAACCCTACACTGGGACATACAATCGAAGTTCTGTTGATGTACACATCTGTTTGCTGATCTCCAAGTGACTGCATTCGTGACAAAAGATTGGATCTGGGCTGATGTCATTCTTCTAATTTCCGATATCAATTTATTGCCCCTAAAATATTCACATTCTTTTATCCTTATAGACAGACTTGTTGCCAAGTCTTCTGGAAAGGGTGCTATCATCAGACTGTTTGCTGACCATTTAAGCAATAGTTAATTTATTAATTTTCATTCCTAATTTTGCAGATAATCTGCCCACCTCGAACATGCCAATGTGACCTGTGAAACTCAAATTGTCCATGTGGTACTCTCGTTTTTTGGCATAAAACTATTTTTGAAAACATACATATTTGGAACACTTAACACCATAAATGATTTTAAAATTGCACAAAATTACACATATTAAAAATGCAGAGTAGTAAAAGAGAACTAAAGCAAAACCTACTGCCCTCTCTCTATATGCTCACAGAGCGCTGCAGCGTTGCAGTCAGGAAAGAATCCCGACAATATTGTTGAGATCTATCCCTCTGCCTGATTGACAGCTGGCTCTGCCTCTCTAGAGTGTGAATGCTCAGCTGTCGATCTATAGAGCCTCCAAGTATTGGGAAGAGTACATTTTTCTCTTCCAATACTTCTAATTTAATTTTAAAATTTGATCAAATAATGATTGATAATTACCGTGATAGTAGATCAAAGAGATATTCAAACATATCAGAAACATTTCTGCTGAGTCTTCTGCATTACAACATAATGTTAATGTCACACTAATGATCTGCTAAAGCTCGGATTGCATGCAGCTTTATGACATAGACATGAAGATTGAAAACAACCAAAACAGCTGACAAATCAGCAATGGAAGCATACATTTTACCGGATATGTCTTTTCTGCACTTGAAACCTCTTGGACACTTAAGAGAACTATGGGGTAAGTGTTTTTCCCCAAAGTTCTCTTCAGGGCCACGGGAGGACATATACTAACCTCCTCCCGTGACCCAAAGCTCAGTATATTGCTGACTATCGCTCGCGATATACTGAGAGCGGCGCAGCCGGGACGGATCCCCGACAATACTGTTGAGATCCACCCAGCTGTGTCAGTGACAGCAGGCTCTGCCCATCTATAGGCAGAGCCAGCTGTGCCCGCCCCCTCCCAGTTCGTTCCTCCACTCAGCGCTGGAGAATCGGAGAGGGGAGGGGGAATCCCTGCGGGGAGCAGTGAGCGGATCGGCAGCATGTTTCTGCTCACTACCCAATCGATAGAGCCGACCTGTGACAGCTTCTTTGTCGACTCCAACTATGAGGATGAGTGGAAATCACTCACCTCATAGTTCCCTTTTGAGTACCTTGTAACTGGTGTGTCTTTTTTTTTTCTTCGAACCTGCGTTTATGAAGCATTTTATGGAACTATGGAATATTCATATCAATAGCTCTGATCAGCTTGTAGATAGTGTTTGGTTTCCACAAGTCGGGCTTAACCACATGCAGCCTGTGCTACTTGATAATTGCTTGCAATAAAACATATTTTCTATTCTACACATAGCAACAAAGTTAACATACCTTCAAGAGAGCCAATGCCACCTGGAAGATGATAGTCAGTCCCTGAGGAGAGGAATAAGGAGAAATCATCTTAATCATATGTAAATAGTTCCAGCTGTACATTGATTTTATGTAGGTTTATACGGTGCCTTCCATAGATATACACTTTAATTACAGTCATAGGGGGTACGTTTCTACTAGGGTTGTATATCTGGATCTTTCAGTTTTTTTGCCCATTCTTCTTCACAAATTGTTCAAGTTCTTTCAAGACTGGATGAGAAATACCAGTCACTGAGAATTTCAAAGGGACTAACGTTTGGGCTTCGCTGGGCACCTTCAAAGAAATTCAGGATCTTAGTGGAGCATCTGAATTGTAGTGTTTTCCACCTTAGCTGTGCTTCTCAGCAGCTCTCATTTGCTTATCTGGTCTCTGTGCCAAGTCACTGAGATTTGGTGGTTTGTAGACAAAATTGCATTTGTGCCATTTTCTTCTTGCATCTCATCAATAATTGATTTAAAAGTGCCCTGGGGGATGTCCATAGTTTGGTATTTTTACAAAACATACCATGACTGTAGCTTTTGCAGAACAATACCCCTGACTTGTTTTTATATGCTTTCCAATTTTGTTTAGATACATCATGTAATACACCATGGAACCTTCCAAAAACAAGTACTGTATATTTACTTCAATATCACATGTCACAAAGCTGGGATCCTCTTAACTAATTAAGTGACTTCTGCAGAAAATATTAGTATGAAAAAATCAATGTGCCTAAAAAATGTATATAGTAAAACAATATTGTTTTAAATAAATATTTGTATCTATTACATTTAAGATTATATTTATTATCACATTTATTTTAAATATCATTGCACCAGAGCTTATCTGAGAGCAAGGTGGGCAGATACATATGCAATCAAGATTTTTTTTGTAAATTATTAAAAAAACTATTCATCCATTTCTATTTTGACATTAGGATTATTGTATATAGATCAGTGGTAAAGAATCCCAATTAAATCCAATTTTAATGCAAAGTTTTTACACTACAAAATGCTGAAACATTCCAGGAGGGGTGGGGATACCTATGGAACGCACTGTAACTGCTAAAGACACAAGGCAGTATTGCTTTTTTAATCTTACTTCACACTAGCATACTAGGCCATGGGATGACTAGCCCTAAAACATAAATAATCTTACAGAAAACAAATATTAGAGACATTTGTAATTCTATATTTAAATAGCACATTGTTTAATAATTTTCTATGTAGCTTGCTATAATCTAGAGCGGCAGCTAACGATTATTTTCAAAATCGATTAGTTAGCCGATTATTAAGTCCGATTAATCGGTTAATCGGATAAAAAATAAAATATTTTTTTTTTAAATAGCTCCAGTGATGGGTCTACTAGTTTGTATTGAGATTGCAGTCCATAACAGGAGCAAGCTTGGAGCGGTGGAAGTAAAAGAGAAAAAAAAATAGTGTGGTGTGCAATATAGTGAAATGAAAAGTGTAACATTATACAGCAATGAATGCAGAATGGCGTAGGCTCTAGAGGACTACAAATCCCAGTAATACATTATACAGCACAATACAGAATACCACCAGCTATAGAGGAGTACAGCAAATCCCAGCAATAGCACATTATAGCTGGTGGTATTCCGCATTGCGCTGTATAATGTATTATTGCTGGGGTTTGTAGTCCACTATACAGCGCAATGCAGAATACCACCAGCTATAGAGTACAACAAATCCCAGCAATAGTACAATATACAGCGCAATGCAGAATACCACCAGCTATATAGGAATACAACAAATCTCAGCAATACATTATACATACAGTGTATAATGTATTGCTGGGATTTGTATTCCCATGTATAATATACAGCACAATGTACCATCAGCTATAGAGGAATACAAATCCTAGCAATACATTATAGAGTACCATGTGGGGGGGAGGGAAAAGTAGGCTTACTTGAGCAGTCTTCCAGCAACTTGCTTCTGAGATCGGGCCTGTCTATTGGCGGCTGCCATCCACCCACACCTGCTCCTCCTTACTTCTTCTCTCCGCGTCCGTGTGCCAATCGTGGATTTGGGCGGGCGAATCTGGCAGCGGCGAGCGTGAGGTGGGGAGGTGGTGTGGCGCGCAGCGTGTGTGGAGCCGTGAACAGGGCCAACCAATAGGAATCCGATTAATCGATGATTGAAAAAGTTGACAACTTTTTCAATAATCGATTATAATCGATTATGTCGATTAGTTGTTGCAGCCCTACTATAATCTGTTTTGCATAAATCATTGCTGGATGAAGAACAGCTGGCTTCCATGTAATTCACAGGTTAAAATCTATGACTATATTCCAATCACTCACTGTACTGTTCTAGGTGCTGTGATGACCAACATTTGCCATCATTAATAAAACTCCATTAATATATGTTGTCCGCACACCAGATTAAAGATTTAAAAAGCATGCCAGCGTGATTATTATGCAATAAAAGCAAACCTTTATCAACCTTTAGGGCCCATTTACACCACATGTGGTGGGCTGTGTTGGATTGAATTTCCCCACTTTGGCCCAATGCAATAACAAGCTGAAATCCATCGTTTCCAATAGGCTCAGTTCACACCATCAGGTTGTTGTACTGTGCACTTGAAAATGAAATGTTGCATTTAACCGCAGTGCAATGTCCTACAATGCACCACAGCTTGCTGCAACAAACATGAAGGAAAAAAATGTATATTGGCTCCTGCTATGAACAAAAAAACTCTGGACATCAATGTGTTAAAAAAAAATGCACATTGAGACCTGGCCTTCGGAACTCTTCTCTTTTTCTTTTCTTTCTCTATCTCCCTTTTCTTTCTAACTTCCTTTACTCTATCACCCCCTTCGGCCTGGTGATGGACCTTTTCTTTTTTTATTGATGGTTGTTATTGAATTTTAATTAGTTTTAATGAACCTCTGTGTACACCTCCGTTTTGTTCATGATATTACTGTAGGGGGAGTTTTTGGGGGTGCCCATGATCTATGACTCCTGTATCTTTTATTTGCCGTCTTTTATTAATGATGTCTTATGGGGGTCCTTTTCTCTTATCTTCATGTTACTGTATTTTACATTTATTTGAAAAGAAAAATCTTTAATGGAAAAAAAAAGCGCATCAACAAAATGCAATGTGATAAAAAAGGATGTCAACACACTTCAACTCAAGGGCATTTAACACGTGTCAACGCATGCTAAATGCAATGGCTGAGGTGTGAATCCAGCCTTAAGCTGGTGTGCGGAGAACATATATTCACAGAATAAAGAAAACAAGACAGCTGTGTACATACAAATATAATCCAATTCCAAACCAAAACATAGCTATTGTGAAAATACGTTACTTTGAATAATTCCCTGAAACCTTTGCATTCGATTCTGTGAAAGTAACTGAATTTGTATGCCAGATTGTCTATTAGGGTAACTGGTCCTCTCAAAGAAACAGAGGCAATTATCCAGCAGGAGGAGCTATTGTCCAAAAAATCTCTCGGATAGATAAGTTGTCTGCTTTTGGAAACATGAAAATGTACGGTGCATATAGTAGAAAACAAGCACAATAGTGTGCAAAATTGAAGATCTAGTATTAGGAAGCAAACACGGTTAAAAAGCATGCATGCTGTACTGCTCATTTCCAAAGCTCTGTTGTATAATATACAACTCAAAAGACTCCACTTTGCCACAATGGCTTACAGCTCTGCTTGTGGGGATAGAAAGCCAGAGGAACACTTCACTGAAATAGATGTAAATTGTCTCTGACAGCTGTTGCACACATTGCCTAGACCTCTATAGTCTGTGTCACACTTCATACCAGGGATGTCATGCTTCCTAACTCGTCAAGTATCTTCTGCTAGACATTGCGCTGTGAGTGACAGGATCAGAGAGCTCCCAATGACTTCCACACACAAAGCACGCAGCATCACAAGCCCAGTTTGGAGTTTTTACAAGATGATTAGAAATTTAAAAGAATGACTCTTGTATTGCACTGCTCAGGAGTTAGCAGCATAGAACCCTTCCAGACAAGTAGCAGATTATGACACCATCAGTAACCAAAGGTTTTTTTACACAGTCTGAAAGAAACTGTTGATGGCACGTTTTATTAATCCATTTGGACAATGGCAACTAAAACTGCTTTAACATTGCTGTGTGCATAGCCCATATAGGTGTGTACTTAACAGGTATGTGAATTGTTTTTGTTATTTATACCCCATTAACACGGGGCTTCAGGCTGTGGCTGGGGATTCCAGTGACAAGAGTCTATGGATTCATGCAGCTGTATTCCCAGGTTGGTCTGTACAGATGTGTCTGTTGTGACTGTTTATGTTAATGGCAGGCTGACATGTGAGCGGCAGGATTCCAAACTTGCTGCTCGGTATAGATGATTGTCCCTGGACACAGACAGATTGCATCCAGGGAAAATCATCTATCCCGAACCGCAGGTAATCATTCCACGTATGATTACTTGCAGACAGCCATTGACAGATGTGGCGCTGTCACCCAGTCATTAATTTCAATGGGAACATCAGCCGCATCTGGACTCCTGCTGCAAGAATCCGTAGGTTCTTGTCACAGGAATCCCTAGTCACAGCCTAAAGCCCCATGTGAATGGGGCATAAGTAACAAAAACAATTCACATACCTGTTAAAGGAGAACTATGGGGTTAAGTCTTTTCCCCATAGTTCTCCTTAGGGTAACGGGAGGACACAAACTAGCGTCCTCCCATCACCCTAGGCTCAGTATACCGCGAGCTGCAGCTCGCGGTATACTGAGACGCAGCAGCTGAAGCGGTTCCCGACAATTGTGCCGGGATCCGCCCAGCTGTGTGACTGACAGCTGGCTCTGCCTATCTGGAGGCAGAGCCAGCCAGCTGTACCCTCCCCCGTCCAATCCACCAGTCAGCGCTGGCGGATCGGAGCGGGGAATCCAGCAGAGAGCCGTGACAGGATCGAGAGGTGAGCGAACGCCGGTATGCGTTCGCTCACCTCCCGATCTACTGAGCCGACCTGTGACAGTCTCACTGTCACAGGTCGGCTAGA